CCTTAAAAATCCAAGTCGCCCTTTAAAAGGGGGAGTATATAAGGTATTTCTCCGGCTATCCTAGCGTGCCTCCGTGGTATAATGGTTCTGCACGCTGGGCCGGTATTCCAGAGGTCGTGTGGTTCGATTCCGGGCGAAGGCGGTTGCTAATTTTTCATCTCTACGGCTTTTCCAATTAACCTAAAGTCTCTACAACATTACAAAAGTGCACAAAATCCCAAATCTTAATTATTAGATGGTATACACATCGGAACAGAAGGATGCTTTAAATGTTAATAAATATAATAGGTTTCCAAGTCTTTCATTAAGAAAAGACTTTATAAATAAGTTTTCAAAGTACGAGGAAACATGATATTCTTTTTTATTTTATGCGTTGTATAATTCAAAGATCATTTTTAGCTTTCTCAATTTATAAACAAATTTAGGCTTTTAAAATTTTGCCTCTGGCTATGATTTGAATCCAGAACATTATTCCAGAAGATTTATTTGTCTACTCTTAGATAATGATTTACCAAAGCAATTGGCATCCAATATTTACTGCTTAAGGGTCAAATTTGGAACTACGCTTTTATTGCAAGTGTAGCCGTTTTCAGTCAATAATCTCCCCCAATATGACTTTCACAGTGTAAGAAGTTAACAAATAAAAATTTAATAGGTGCTTTGACACTTCCAAAATTAATAATTCTGAACTCAAAACCAACGTCTTACATCTTGATCTTAAGGTTCAATGTGGTTTTTTGTATAATACAGAAAAGAGAACGATATATGATTCTGTTATAAGCTAAAAATGAAATATTTACGATTCCAAGCAAATTGTGAACTGTTGAGTTTGTTAATTAAAAGATTCATAAGGACTAGAACTCAATAGCAGGTAAATATCTGCTACTTGCAAGACATTTGATGAAGATTAAAAATGAACTTCTTTCATTAATGCAAGAAAGAACTTAGCAAATACTTGACTTTTTTTGTTGTTGTTATTTCCAGTCTTCTAATATCCTTTCTTCGCCAGTAATAAAATTATAATAACACCACAATAATTAATTGAACAATTAATAATGTAGAAAAGGAAAAAAATCTTCGGGCAAAAAATAATGTATACAAAAGGTTTTGTTCATTTTCTTCCTTATATTTCCATTCAGACAGAGAACAAACGCAGCTTTCCAGCACTTTTTTCAGTCTGTGTCTTAAACAGCAGTGTAACGTTTGTTCTTCTAACAATTTTTCTATTCTTAAGTTTTCATTTAACACATTTAAAAAGTATTAATCTGATTTTAAAGAGGACAAAATATGAGAGATAAGATGGAAATTAATAGTTTACTTAAAAATGCATTCTTCTCTTTGAACATAACACTTAGATCTTGAATAAATATAGGGGTGTGAATGATCCTTTATTTTTCACTTTATGACTCTTAAACTTATTAAGAATGATCAATATAACCTCCAATCTACTTGAAAATAAATCACTAAGCCATATGCCGCCTTTTGATTCATATGTTATAAAGGAAACAGAAATTTTTTCCCGAACGTTTTACAATATGTTGAAAAAACTAAACACACTTCCTTAAAACCAAAAATTGTAAAAAAGAACTAAAGATTTTATCATAAAATATGGAAAAAAAATATTATTTTTGGCATTCTTATTTTTAGTTTTACAGGATCAAATATTGAAATATTCTTATCATAATTTCTTAGCAGAGTAAATTGTTATCGCAGCGTAATAAAACGCATTTGATTTACAGACTAACTGGAAATTAAGCTCAGGGTAAGTTACTTAGTTGTAGTTTTGCATATGGATAACCCGCTTAATACAGTTAAGATTAAGCCATTAGCGGGATATAAGATAAATTAAAAGCTAAATCTTACAAATCTCTCAAAGCTCTAGAATTCAAACTATGACTAAAACGTACAGAGAGCAAATACTTAAGATAAATTGTTTACGTTTTACAAGAAGCAAAATGATAAAATTAGATCTGCAATAAAGTAGTAATGTCAGATCGATACATGTAAATATCTTTATTTAAAAAGAAAGACGGAATATTTCGTCAACCGGCAAAAGAATATACTGTAATCATCAGATAGTTCTAGCTACTTTAACACTATCAGTAAGTGTGCGGGGTATTCCCAAAATATCTCCATGCAATCTATGTTTCAAAAGGCACAACTGAAAAACGTGTGCAGGTCGCCTGCTCAGAAGATCAAACTTCTCAATATTCTTGTTAAAAGATGCATATAAACCTGCAGTGGCTACACCTCATTATATACCAATGGCAGAATTTTACAGCTTAAATAAAATAATTCGAAAAAAAATGAATTAATTATTTTTTATTTGATGCCAAGAATAATGTCCATGACTGATGCCATTACTGGTTTCATTAAATTATTAAATCACTTTGTTTAGTTGCTTAAGATAAAATAACACGCCGAACAAGTATTAAATTTAGAATTCAAACAACAAAAATCAGTGTTATATTTGCAAATTTTCACAGAACTAGTTTGTACCTGTCCAGCCGTTCTTATCTAATCACTACATCTTATCTCGTTCATTTGCGTTCTTTTGCAGTTGAGGATGATGGTTCGGTAAAACCATCGAAACTAGTCCTGTGAAAATTTGCAAATACAACGTTGACTTTTGTTGTTTGACTTCTAAATTAATTATTTCCTTCTTGTTCAAATCTTTACACTTATACAGATTTCTATACTTCATTTTCACATATTTAGTTTATATACACATTCTGCTTCTTCGCATGATAGATACGTTTTAATTCATTAATTGTTTTCATTTTCTTATATGTAGAGATTAAAATAGTTATTTCTAATTAGCATTATTAGTATTTTCTGAACTAATTTTTTATTTTTTATAATTTTCTCTTCGTTATTTCATTTTTAACTCTGTTTTAATTTACTATGCTTACATTTATTTCACTTTTCTTCTTTTTTCTCCTTCACATCATTTCTCTTTTTCTTTACTCCAATTTACTTTGAAAGACGCTTCTATTTTTCAAATGAGTGCGTTTTTTCGACCTGTGGGAAATTTCAAGTCGCAGACAAGCAGCGCTTCTTTGACTATCAGTTGAATTGATTTGATTATATTTTCTGCAAAATAATGATCCTAACCTCGTTAACGTAGCCTTAAACAATTGCAAATTTATAAATTTCTGATTGTTTCATTATCATTATTTAAAGTCCTTATTTTAATTTGTTTCTCCATTTATTTTTAATTCTTAACTTTCCTTTTGATTAACACATGTTTTTTGTACAAACAATTTAATTTACGACTAAAACTAAGTCAAAAAAGCTGATATTCATGCTATAAAAGTATCTGTGTAGATTTTCGAAGCAAGCAAATGTCATAATAACATTATTTCAGTTACTCTGTGATCGGTTAGAATATCTGCGCTTTAATCATCGGACACTAATATGTGTTCCAGTCGATTTAAACATGTTAAGGATTACTGCGCGGGGTTTAGTAATTTTATGTTGTGTCGTAATGAAAATATTTATTACAACTTTTCTAATATCTAATTTGATCTGATTAGTGTCTATGTTTTCAAGTTCTATGGGTCGTTAATATGGCTGGCTTTTCTCACATCAAATGATATTTGAAATCCACTATTCGAACTCGATTAGCAGGTCAGTTTGAATCTTGCAATTAAATCTGTTATAAAACTTATCTTTACAGCTAAAAGTTTCTGATGTAACTTCAGTTATCCTTAATAACTTTTCTTAGATTCATCCTCATCACTTTACAGAAAAATGTTAGATTTCTGTTTAAGAAGAACAGTTCATGCAAAGCTATGTAGTATTTTAAATGAAAATATCACTAATAACAGGACTACCTGATTGTTTAACTGTAAAATGTGAATAAGTGGAAAATCCCCATTGCTGCGGATTGCTAAAAGAATTTTTAATTAAAGGATACCAGAAGTTCACTAGAATTGTTTCCACGTTGTCTATAATGTATAAAAAATTCACTGAAATCAAGAACATAATGTTTATCAGCGTAAGAATGTATCATTTAATACTAGAATATATTTCTTTAAACGTGCTTCTACTGTTTGGTGCAGTAAGATCATGTATAGAATATTTTACTTACTAACAACGGCTTCTACGTATAAAAAATGTAATTGTTCTAAAAAGCTGAATAGAGGTTTCATGCCAAAGGCATTTCTGATTTTCTGCTTTCTGTTAATTTTCGGGCCGCAAAGAGGTACGTAACCGTTTGCAACTATTACAAACAAGCAGGAATGCTGTCGCTTCCATTACCATTTTATACGTACAGAAACATATTTTAAAAGCCAGTCTAATCAAAGCGTTAAATACGTAACATAAAGATACAAACTATGAGCTCTAAAAAAAGAATTATTTATGTTTCTGACGTTTTGCCCTTTGTTGTATATTTTGAGAATTACAGTGGTACCTCGCGATACCACATACACACAATAAACATTTATACCACATTTATAAATTAAAATAACCTTATAAATAAATAAAAAAAATAAAAAGAAAAATTAATTTCACTTACCGTAAAGTACTGTACAGTCAGCGAGGGATAGTTTTCATTAAGACACTGATAAATTGCTCACAGCGTTTATAAAACTTAGACACAGTAATGAAAACTTAAAATTAAATTAAATTTCTTTTAAAATTAAATTTCTTATGTAAAATTACAGACCAGTAATGAAAACTTAAAATCAATTTTTTTTATAATTTTTATCTTTTGTAATTTTCTTTTCTTTTCTTTTTTTTTTTTTTAATTAACTGAACTTAAATTTGAGGTGATACATCATCGTCTTCACTTTCCTTTCTAGTTTTCTTACTAGAAACACTCGCTTCTTCACTTTCTGGGGCACTTCTCTTCGAAAAATATCTATCTAAAGAAGCCTGTTTCTGACGACTCCTCAAAATGTTTCGAAAATGACTCATACAAATGTCATTCACATTGTCCATTGCACGAGCTGTACGCATTTTTTCTGGGTGCTTTTTTTTTCAATAGAAACTGTTTACGTTTTCAAACCAACCGATGGCTTCCCGTATTTCCGTAGATGTGCCACCTCCACCTCCTCCTCAACACTCGAATGATGTTCCTCTTGAAGATCGCTGATTTGCATCGCCTCCAATGCCTTCAAGTCGTCACTGTTGAGCTCCTCCTTGTGCTCGTCAAGTAGGTTGTCAATGTCAGCCTCATCGACAACAAGCCCCAAAGACTTTGACAGAGAAATAATCTCCTCCAATGGAGCAGGATCATCCACAGCTTCTTCTTCAGTAGGGATTTCGAAACCCTCAAAGTCTCGTTCTGCAACCACAGCTGCCCAGAGTTTAATCCATGCTGATTTCATGGTGCGGCTTGAGACCTCACCCCATGCCTTTTCTATGATTTTTAAGCAATGGACAATGTCGTACTGACTATTCCAAAACTCACGTAGTGTGAGTTGCATTCTCTCTGTCACTTCGAAGCATCGTTTGAAAAGGTGCTTCGTGTAAAGCTTCTTAAAATTAGCAATGACTTGCTGGTCCATAGGCTGGAGGATGGAAGTGGTGTTCGGTGGCAGATAGAGCAATTTGATGAAGTCGAAGTCGGGATGTATCTGTTCTTCAAGGCCAGGAGGATGAGCAGGGGCATTGTCGAGAACAAGGAGGCATTTTAGAGGAAGACCATTCTCCTCTAAATATTTTTTCACTACAGGTCCGAAGCAGCAATTAACCCACTCAACAAATAAAAGACTCGTGACTCAGGCTTTGGCGTTCGACCTCCAAAAGACGGCAAGCTTATCCTTCGACACATTATGTGCCTTGAAGGCACGAGGATTTTCTGAGTGGTATACAAGTAGGGGTTTTATTTTTAAATCCCCCACTGGCATTCGCACATAGGGCAAGAGTAAGCCTATCCTTCATGGGTTTGTGTCCAGGAAGTTTCTTTTCTTCTTCTGCAATGTATGTACGACGGGGCATTTTCTTCCAGAAAAGCCCCGTTTCTTCACAGTTGAAGACTTGTTGAGGGATGTAGCTTTCATCGAGGATTAACTTTTTGAAGGCCTCGATAAATTCTTGCGCTACTTTTTTCATCGGCGCTGGCAGCTTCCCCATGCCTGACCACGATATGTATCCCCGATCTCTTCTTAAATCGTTCAAACCACCCATGAGATGCTTTGAACGTTGGGGCCTCTTGTGTTGTTGATGTCCCTTCGCCTCCTTCGTCTCTCTGGGCTTTTGCGAATTCTTCAAAGATCGCAGTGGTTTTATGGCATATAGCAGCTTGTGTTATCGTATCACCAGCAATTTCCTTCTCTTTTATCCAAATAAGAAGAAGAGTTTCCATCTCGTCATTAAGGGCAGTTCTATTGTATGAGAAGGTGGCAACGCCCTTTGCAGACTTGCTGGCATTAATGGCTTCTTTATTCTTTATAATGGTACTAATCGTGGATTGGTTTCGTCCATATGCATTAGCAATAGCCATGATGCGCATGCCACTTTCGTATTTTTTTATAATTTCCAACTTCACTTCCATGGTTATCGATGACTTTCTTTTCCCCTTATCACCACCAGCACTAGAAGCACATTTAGGACCCATGGCGAATAAAGTTTATCACAAAATTATATTACGATCACATAATCACAAGAATATCGTATGAACTGTACGAACGCCACGCGGTCTCGAGAAGGAGAGAACGATATCACATCGACGCTTTGTGTGGACTCGGTATCCTACGATGCCGTGATGCCGACCAATAGGAGAACAGGATTTTATAGAGAAAGGAAGATGACGTCACGTCGACCAATACCAGAACAGCTTGAATAGTGACGTATTGAGGCTTGCTGAGGCTTGCTTAGTGAGGTTTGCCCGTAGGGCGCCAACTTCAAAACAATTTCAAGCGGCAAGAGATATTGGGATCGCATCGCGAAAAACGTATCGTTTCGCGAGCACGAATATTTGCGATATTCCACTTCGTATCTTGAACACATCGTATCGTGGACCCATCGTATCGCGAGGTACTACTGTACTAAAGAATATGTTTTCACGATTGGATGAATAGTAATTTACATCTGGTTATAATGTCTTAAAATTTAGCATTGCTGTATATGCACAGACATAATTAAAACGAAAAACCGACATTGTAAACATCAGAGAAGTTCCTTTTACTATTTTTATTTATAGTATCCAAAGAAAATGCCTAACAAAGGGAATAAATGAAGCAAAACTGAAAATACTAATTAAATATTCCACAACATAGCTAGCAAATAATGCAAAGCATTATACGAAAAAAAATAGTTTCCGACATTATTTTTTCCGCGATTGTAGACAAATGCAAATGTTATTTAAAACACTGAAAGAAACAGGCTTAAATGAAAATTGATTCATCTTTTTTATCTTTCTTCAAATGCTTTTATAGCTTTAATTCTAGTTTTTATTCTATACTTCTTTTATTTTTCAGCATTATTTCTGCTGTATACTGCCTTCGTTTAAGTAAATAATTATGTGTCGTTTTCACTTTTGTTATGTATGCCAAAGCAACTATTTTAATTGTGTACATTTAATTTACATTTTTCCTTTCTTATCTGATGCAAAACGAAATCTAATCTCTTTTAAATAGTCTTTCCATTCTGAAACAGTATTTTCAGCCCCTCTTCTTCAGTTTGACGTATGCTCACGAAACATTTTTCTTTAATAATGTGTTCGATGCGTGATTAGGTTTCTTGCGTTTTATTCAAATTTCATGCTAATTTAATAAAATAATGATTTTTTTTAGGTTTCATTCAAAAGGAAACTAAATAAATAGTCAATGTCTAAATTTTTTGTTTAACTTTAGGAACTTTAGTTTTTAATTTTACAAATGTCTATAGCTCGTACGTTTTATTTTTAGCGTCACGTAATATTACCCTAGCTGTATCAAGTACCTCCGTGGGTTCGCAAATCGCAGCTATTCAGTGACATATTATGCTGCACTTACTTTTAAATTATACTAATGCACTGCTTATTCTAGAATGAATTTAGTGATTTAAAAAGAATGAACGCACATGTTTTTTTTTTTTTTTTTAATTTTTACACTTTTTTCCAATAATATAACTCGCTAATTTTTGTTAATACATTTGTATATCTTATTCCGTTATTTTCTTCCTTCACGTTCGTACGGGGTTAGTAGATTTGGAGTGAATAACACTTAGGGTTAGTAGATTTGGAGTGACGACACTTTATGAAGTATCGAAATACTTTATTTACCAATATTAATCAGATAGCTCCAAAATCACTTTTAAAGTCCTCGAACTGTTATAAACACGCTGACACGTTCAGCGACACAGCCTTCACACTGGCAGGCAATAACGGTGGAGACAGCTTCACTTCAAAGCAGCCGAGTACAGCTCCCAAATCTGCTTGGTCGTTCTCGGAACTCCACGTACACTCGAGACACTCCACGCGATGCACTCGACGATACACAAGAGTATAGCTCTCAACTCAGCACAGTCTAAGACAAAAGTTGACGATGCACTAATTCGCGATGCACTAAAAGACTCTCTCGATGCACTCGACTACCAGCTCGGCGCTAGACTTCCGAGACACTCGCTCAATGACTGACTATCAGCTCGATAGACGAGGCACACACACTCGCCCTCTTGAAGAGGCACACTAACTGCGGACCAGCAGGGTTTATATAGTTTTCGGCTTGTGTTCGAGAACATTCTGGGCTAAACCGGTAAGAATTCGTTCCAGAAGGTTCTCTATCCGTCCATGGCATATCGCCAATTTTGTCGCCAAGTGTCTCCAAATTTGGCAACCCTGTCTTCCCTTGCCATTTTATGGCAACCCTAAAACTGCTCTGCGGGGAAGCTACCCCACCGTACCTTTATATTTCGTAACAATATATATATATCACGCTACTGTACAAACAAATCACTTGTCTAGATGCAAAAATGGGACATTCTCGTTTTCACACAATGACACTGCATGTAATAACACCGTTTTTTCTATGTTAGAACTGGAGCACTATATCTTAATATAGAGTGAGTCCGAATAAAATAGATGCTTGAGGGAGATGGGCACAGCCCCCCCCCAATTCCTATGTGACTCACAAGGTGGTGGTTCCATAGTGGTCGCAGAAGTGAAGACAAGATATACGTGCATTCTCAACAAAAGCGAAAACAACGGATCACTCAAGACAACACGAAATCGCGTAAAACAGGTAAGTTCGATTCATTTTATTATATTGCAATGAAAATCGTAAGGTATAGCCCACAGGGTAGTTGAGTGTTGAAAGTGTTGCATGGGGATTAAGTCAGGCTTGGATAAAATCTGATTTTACATGCCTGACGGCCACCATGTATTTGTGGATTGCTATGCATGACGCAATGCATTCAAAAGTACTGTTTGGGGAAGACAAGCACGTTGCATTACGGATAAGAGGAGAATTAAGCCACCTATTGGTGAAATAAGCCGTTTATTACAAATCATAACACTATTATGTAATACAATTCTGTATGCTTCTAGCCTTTTAAGTGCATGACGTATATAATGTTCGAAAAGAGTTAACTTGAACTGCTTATAAGGAGAAAAATTATTTAGACCCCTTGAATGTCATGTTAAAATTTCGAATGCATTTATTAGTAGCTAATTAATAGACTAATAATATAGAATAATTGTTGATTTCAGGCTATGCCATGGCAAAACCAGAGACTAAGTAACAGGGAATCTTGGACACAAGGAACACCTATCCATAGCGATATATGCAGTAATGACGGGTGCTATGTCCTTCAAGGCAGCTATCAAATCCTGTGTTGTTCCCCGGCAGATATTGCAGAGTACATTGGTATGAAAAACGCGGAGAAAAAAGTCCTCGGACCATCAGGATTTCTTTGTGATATCTTCGAAGATCGGCTTTTGATTTTGCCACAAACAACAATATCATCTCACAGGTTCAACAAAGATAAAAAAATGGCTGGTTACGAAGCCACTTTTTTCTTGGTTAACTCGTTTCTTGGCTGCCATCCTTAACTTGTAAGAAAGCAGAAGATCTGGCAAGGCTTAGCATGGATAGGTAGGTGGTGTACACGTACTTTGACCTCCTCAAAACAAACCTTTAAAGATGAAAATTTGATAAACAAGCCTTCTCATCTGTACAATGTGGACGAAAATGGACTGTAACTTAACATTCGTCTTGATAGGTTGTAGGAGATAAAGGAAAAGATCTGCCTGTAATTACACCCATAGAAAAGGAGGAAAGTGTCAGTATAGTTGCTTGCGCTGCTACAGATGATCAGTTTATTCCTCCAACCGGTTGTTTTTAAATGAAAGCGTCAACAGTATGCTTGGCTTGACTACTTTCTCCCCCAGTTCCGCTGTCTACAATTCAGATAGGGGTTACATTAATAGCGAACTTTTTCTCATATGGCTACAAAAACGCTATTGTATTACGTAATAAATCTGGGTAAGTTCTTCTCATGGTTGATGGTTACATCTCTCAGATTTTGAGCGTAGACGTTCTGGACTTGGCAAACGACTTTGTGATTATCGTTTTCTCTCGTCACATAACTCATTATTTGCAGCCGCAACAGTTGCCAATGCATGCAGTGTTATGTGTATAGAGTGTTTCCCGTTGCTTGTACCGAAGAAAGTACAATACCGGAAGAAGTGCATTGCAGACGACGTTACTGGTTCTAGTTCGAGTTCTGTCATATAGGTGACTGCCACGCCAAATTCACAGCCCATCTACCCCATATGATATTCGAGACACTTTCGCCTATCCCTTCTTTGGAGCTGCAGACAGTCCAGAAAAGCGGTAGGAAACGTCAGGTGGTAGAACCATGACTTCACAGATACACCGCAAGTCAGCTGTAGACAGTTCGGAACGTTCTAATACCAGGGAAATTATCAAAAGGAAGACGCTTGTATCACAAGCCTCTCAGGGCACAACTCTTTCCTTCGATCCTAATGCAAAACCGTCAGTGTCTCAGAACATAGG